AACCCCGCCCTAGAGCTTCCGTTTGGGCAAAATAGTTCCCTAATGCAGTCTGGATTCTTTCAGAGTGGCACAAGGTCCAAGCAGCACTGCCATCCCCTACATCCAGACACAATGAATACCCATTCCTCTTCAAGAAGCTGTGAATTCTGAAGCCTAAGGATTCCCACTCACAGAGTAATGATTGCTTTACTATCACATGTTCTAGCACAGGCTGTGCTCGTCCTCTGTTGCTGGATGTGCAGCTGTCTTGAGTCACAAACCCCTGGGGAGGCAGAAGCCAGCTAGTCAGAGGGAGATTTCACACCTCTTTACACCTTGTCTGTACCACAGACAGGGATGGGCTCATGTAGCTATCAATACAGTTTACAGCAGCCTCTGTGGCCACCCTATCTCTTGCCACTTTGTCATAATCGTTTGAGGTATGCCATTACCAACCAGGAAACCACAAATGCCCTTTCTGCTTACCCCAGGGTTTATCCTCACACCAGGGCTAACCCTAGCTCCACCACAGCAAATGGGGGACAGAGTCTGGGGTGTGTCCTAGGAAACAGGATTGCATGTCCAAACATGCCAGACAGGCATTGCATCCACAACCACAGGAAGAGAAAGAACCTATTTCTCCCCCTTCACTTCCCAAAACCTCAGTGCCCCAACCCCCTGACACACAGGAGTCTCTGCAGAGACCCCAGCTCCCAGCCCTTTTGCTTTCCTTTTAGGTCCATGGTTGTTAAACACAGGAAATTTAATGAGAAAGATACTGAACAGAAAAAAATCCACAACCCTAAAACACACAGGATCAAAACAAGCTTTGTGTTAATGCTGGAACACATTGGGTTTATTTGAGTATAACTCCCTGCCTACACATACGCAACCACACACCCCATGAGCACAGTGACCATGTCTGTATATGAACTCTCTCACAGGAAAACAGTCCTGCTTCACAGCCTGTACCTCACATAAAGTCCAAGGGGAGTTCCAAGCAGCTACAGCAGAGTGGTGGTAAAGCTGGTTTTGGGGCTGTAAGCGTTGGTTCTCAGCGGCTGGAGAAGTCTCACAGAGAAGAAAGGCAGAAGGAATAAGATTTGTGCCCTTATAAGACAGCCTCAGTACTTGCAGGAGGACAGTTTTAAAGCAAAAGCTTTTAATGAGAAGGAAGACAGACCAGGTGGAAAAAATAGCTTAATAGCTCCTTTGATCAAGTCCTGCCTGATGATTAAGTTAGATAAAGCCATGGAGAAAACACTGAACAAAGTAGCACTGCCTTTGAAAAAACAGAGAAGTGGCCATAAAACAGATGCACCCCTGAATTTACCATACGCTGCACAGAGAAGGCACAAGTTTGTGCCTTCACACATACAAGTAATGGAGCACTGCTTGCCATCTGTCTGGTCCCTCAGGTTCCTGTTTTTCTCTGCAGTCCATGCCAGGATAAGTTCCCCACAGGCACAACAGGAGCAGGAGTGCTGGGGAAAGGACTTTGCTAAAGGAATGTGCAAAACACCCCAAGAAATACAGACAGGACACTTAGCCTTTCATCAGCTCACCCAAAGCATTTCAGTTTTTCTCCTGTTGATGGGGATTCTCCCATTAGTCCCTTTAGCGGTGAGAGTTGAGCTTCAGATTTTTTTGTTAACTTCAACCCAACGACCATCCACCCCAGCCCAGTTATTAAAACTCTGTTGCCAAACTGGCTGTGGTTGCAATGCAAAGCAGAAGCTGATACAACCCAATATTGCTAGTCAGCGTTAGAATAGGACCAAGGGAAGCCAGCATCTACCTTGTCCCAGCAAGCATCAGCTAACTCCACAGCAGAAAATAAATTTTTAAGATCTTCAGCTCAGCTTGGAAGAAGAAGAAGAAATCACACTTACCTGAGCGGCTCAGACACAGCACAAGGAGCACTAGGCAAAGCATGAGCTTCACCATGGCTTTTCCTTTAAATCTGATCTTTTTTTTTCATAAGCAAATCGGTCTCATCCTAGTAGGGGACTGAAACAATCTACGCAGAAATCAAGGCAGCAATTGAGTCTGCAAGGCAAGACAGCACCTTTCAAGCCTTATCTTGCCTCGTTATGACTCTGTAAATCACACTTCATTGATTTTCAGTCAGCTGTCACATCCCGTAAGTCCAAAATAGGGCTCTGGGTCCTAAACTCTGACTGATTTGTTTGTGATGGTACTTGCGTGGCTATAAACACTGTGGTCTAGGAGGAAAAATGTCTGTTACAGCTGGGGGGAAAAAAAAACAACCAACAAAAAAAAAAAACAGGTTGCAGATCAGACCCAAAGATAGATCACATGCCTGAAAGACTATCTGTTTGCTCCAGCTGTATCGGTTGGTCTAACTAAAAAGGCAACCTCCCTACAGACCTAACTTAGCTAATTCATTTTTCATACTACACTTGCTGTTTTACAGCTATAAAATAGATCTGGGGAGGAGTAAAACCAGTAAGATATAAATGGAAAAACAGGGCTGATTTCTAAATTTATAGCTTATTATTCTTACACAAAACATCACAGACAAAAGCACGGAAATGCTTGCACAATACAGCTTAAGAAAGTATGTTGCTCCAGGGACTTGTGTTTAGCAATGGGAGTGATGGGGCCTTTGATTAATTAACCCATTCCTCCATAGGTGTCACTTGTCCCCAGCAACACTTTGGACAGGGCTCCTTTCAGAACCTCACAGAAATTGCTGATACCAAAAGTGATACAGGTTCCTTTTATCCTGTTCCCCTGCCACTCTTCTGCCAAGAGATCTCAGGATCTTCTCTGTTTTCTTCCCAAATGAAAGTCACTTTGTTATCTCTCTCCAAAGAGGAGCTTCTTCCCTGAACTTTTCAAGTTCAAGGGAAGTTCAAGTTCAAGTTCAAGTGGTGCAAAACTCTTTTAGCTTGCACCCAAAACTGACACTCTTCCTGCTTTGATTTATTCTTTCTGTTGTTTGTCTCTGTGCTGGCACAGTAATCCCACACATTGGCTGCAAACAAAACCATTCATCGCTCTTTGCATGTCCTCAGAGTTTGTCTTCAACCACTGATACACATTCATAACCTAGAGAAATTTAATTGCTTGCTAACTTTTTTATGGGAAGCCTGTTTTTTTCAGCAACAGCCTGGCCCATTTCTTGCCCAGATTTTGGTACAGTCATAAACTATGTGATTCAGATTTTCCTTATCTAAGGTCTTCAGAAAGGACTGATAACTGGCAGCTGTAATCTTATCAGATTATTCAGCTTCCTGTAATGAAAAAAGATGTCATTCAGTGTGGTCCAAAGTCATGTTGCTGCTACAAGTAACCTTTTTGTAGTGTCCTACCACCTTATTTGTGCTGCTGTGGACTTGCAGCCTGCCTCACCTGTAGCTCTCGGTCAGGCCACCAGCAGCAGCTCACTGGGTTTGCCTTTCCTGCCACTGTGCTACACATGGGAAATCTGCAAGGGCCCTCCTCAGCTCCTTGGCTCTGCCAGTGCTCACTTGTCTGGGCTGGAGGAGCAGCTGGCTTCCTCTGCATCTTTTCTCATCCCAGCTGCAGAAAGCAACTCAAAAACAACAGTGCTATTGAGAGATTGTCTTGAATGAAGTGCCTTGTTATCACCAGCGGCTGTCACTACCAGACTGCTCAGTTTACCCATTAGATCCAGACCAGGATTTAGCACACGACTTGTCGAGGGACACAGTAAGGACCCTTTTTTTAAGCTGGCCTCAAGAGAACAGCGGATGTTCAGCTGGAGTGATACGGACAGACAGTGCCACAATCTGCCATAAAGTTGAGTGTGGACTAAACACAATTATCCTGCCTGATGCAAATTTTTCTGCAACAAAGCTCCACTCAAAAATGTTTTGTGCAGACCATCCTGTTTCTGGTCCTGTACTGGGCTCAGCACCCTCAGGCATCATCCATCATCTTTGCTGAACCACAGCTTCATGACTTCAAGCCCCAGCCTCTGCCCATTGACACCTCTGTTTGTAGACAACTCTGCCTGAGATCATGTCAGGTGCTGCTCTGTTGGACAGCGCTGTATCACAGATTTGTTTCCATAAGGGTTTAGCCTGCTGCCTAGAGGTAATGAAGTTCATGTATCAGCTGGCTAAAGCAGTAGGCTTTTTGCTACTGCATTGTATTTGTTTGGAAGGAAATATGACATATGCTTGCTTTACCATTGCCTCCACCCACTGCCTAGCTTGTGACAAGCAAGGTAAGGACAGAGCTTGCCTGGTCTTTGGCTTCTAGAGTTATCTTGCAATCATTGGAGGGTATTGGAGAAATAAATTTTGTTTGCCTGCTGATGATGCTTTCTGTTCACAAGTCTTTATTCAGCCATGCTCTGCAACAATTTGGAAATGGAGGTATGCATGAACACTCCATTTTACCATTTGGACCATGAAGCATGGGGAGCATCCACCCTGAGACATAAAATGAATTCCTGGGTAAAACTTGAATATTCTCTATTGAGAACCTGCCTCTGCTTTTCCACATGTTTCAGGGGATTTGTAACTAATCTGAGGCTGCAATTCCAGGCCGCAAAGTGCTGATTGCTGCCTGAGCACAAGCAACACTAGAGCTAGGCCTCAATCCCTGGGAAACTCAAAACTCCTGGGGAAAAATAAAAGAAAGAAATACACCTAGAGGCACAAATCCATCAGTTTGAGCCCACATGGTTAATATCAAAAGCAACTGAAAACTTGAGATTATAATGAAGAGTGCTAAGCCATATCTCCCATAGTTGTCATGCATTTTCCAGTAAGAGGTGGCTTTGCTGGCCATAAATCAGAAGGTGGGGAACCTGGACTGAGGGAGGAAGGGCAGTGGGGAGGAAGAACGTGGATGGGAGATGCCGCAAACCAGAACTGAGAGATCTTATTTCCAGAACCAAGATCTGGAGAAGGGTTTGCAGTGCCACCAGGGTTGTTAGCTGCAGGGAGGAGAAAAGAGAGGTGGCAGAGGCAGCAACAGATATGCAGCAGGAGAGTCCTCCAGGTGGATGTCCCTTCTCCCTCCTCAACCCACCTCCCTGGTTTTTAGCCCAGCTTCCCAGCAATTTTAGCAGCAACAGGCACTTCTGTGTGCCAGAGGGCACCGTCTGCAGCCAGCCATTCAGCTTCTCTGTCCACCCAGGCACCTTCCCGCTGTCACTCCCTTTGGCTTGTTTACAGGCGCCACCAAGCACAACCCGATTCAATTTCTCCCTCCCTGCTGTTTGCCCTTCACCCTTCCCTCCTCCTCCATGCACCCTTTTCCCGCGGGGACCAGCACTGCATCACGCCGAAAAAAGGTCCTTTCTTGCCTTTTCCTGGTCGGTCGTGGAGGTTTTCCTCCCTTCCTGCTCTCCCGTGCTGTTCCAGCACCACTCCCTGGCAGGACCCGGGCAGTGCAGGCAGCGCTCGATGCAGCTGCCTGGACCCTGCTACTAACGTTAGAGTCTGTGGGTGTGATTGATCCCTCGGCCTTTTTTGCGCAGCAACACAGATTACACACTGTGTCAGGTTTATTCGGCAACGTGGCCTAACATGTTTCGTTCTGAAAACTCGTGCTTTGAATGATGCGTTAGTAGTTGGAACGCTGCATAATGCTGATTGAGGCTAGGTAGCGAGCTCTAAAATATGTGAGAATGGACTTGCTGTTCAGACATCAAAGCTTGGAAGACCTCAGGAGTAAGTGAACTATTAGCAAGGGTCAAGACTTTGCAGGGTGTGAGAGAAAACTCTGTTTTGAAAACGACTGCCCTTGGAATGACAGAAGCACCTGGTTCATGTCTATCTCTGCATCCACCTCTCAGCCTCTCATTTTCAGTGGTAGCACTTGGTACCTGGGAGCCCTTGTCCCAACACACATGGTGTTCCATGACAAGAGGGAGCACCATTGGCCTCTTTTCTGCTTTCTTCTTCTGATACAATACAGGATTTTTATCCACAAGGCAACAGTAAAACTGAAAGGGCAATTCCAGACACATCCTATGGCCTCAATCAGCTGCCTGAATCCTAGCAGCAGCTTTGTTCATTTCATCCACTTCTCTTCAGACAGGACAGCCCCACCATACAGACTGAATGGTGGTAGTTTTGTTTCTTGAGCCGCTGCCATTCTTTGCTTTGCTGTGTCTCGCATGGGAGGGTGGAGAGCTCCCTTGGAGATACCATAGCAAAATCAAAAACTTTATCAGAAACCGGATGAGGTCTACAAGCTCTGATCCTGCCTGCATTTGAGGGTATTTGCCTTTATAATCTTTTCCCGAGTTAGCAGAAATGGTTGCTTTTTGTGGGTTCACATCACCTACACACAATTCACAACAAGGTTTCATTTTAGCTTTAGAAATATTTCTTGACACAGGTAATAATTTTCCAAAAGATGAAGTGTTAACATGTTTGCTCCAAGGTCCATGTTCTTTTGTCTCTTTCTTCTTTACTTGGCTGGATGATGTTCTGGTGCTGTGGCTTTTTTCAGGATGTTTCAATAAAAATAAATGCAATTGCTGTTGTGCCTTTTCCTCTACTGCTCTATGCCTTTTTCTACCTGCTTGGATTACAGAAAGACAGTTATTTCTGCAGTTGACAAGTTCTCCATCATGTATATATACCTGTGTATTAAGTATTGCATTTCTGTGGAAAAATGTTATATATTATGTACTCAAATCTGCAAGGACACAATAGCCTTATCAGATTGTACTTCATGAACACAACCTTCATACTCAAATTTAGGTACATCATGAGTTGTTCTACCATGTTTTTAAAGTTACTATTTTTACAGGAAATGCAGCAGCAGCACTGATTGTCTCAGCTACATTCAGCCTCACAAAACTCAGGTGCTCATAAACATAGCTCCTCAACTTGTGATGCTGAGCTACAGGACAGATGCCTATGCCTTCATCTTTAGCATTAGGAAATAAATTGGAAGGGGACAGGTGGGAGAAATAAAAA